ACTGTGGAGTTTAATGCGCTTGGCGAAATGACTATTTTTGTAAACACGCTGCAACTACTTGGCGAAAAAATACTGAGTTCGTTCACTATGGACAAGGTAATTTTCTAAAAGTTTTTACCATTCGACACTTTATCGTCTAATTATTATGAGGGTAGAAGCATTTCAGGCTGAGAAAATCCCCCGTTCTTTACCCAAGGACTTTCTTTCTATCCTCGTCATTTCTCAGAAATTATTCGCTGCTGTAGAAAAGCCATCTCTGGTGAGATTAGGGATGAGTATTCGTTGGCTGTAATAGCTTATGATTTATTTACTTGCAGATTAGAACCTTATTTTTGGCAATGAGTGGTTTGCTGGCCAAGATGCTTGGCAAGATCTATAGCGATGATTCGCTCCTAAAAGAAATCACGCAGGATTCATTAGTTGCTTTCACCGCTGTAGGTTTAATTTTTAGACTGAAATTTTTCGATCAGCACAGGATTTAAAGAATTTTTTTAGATAGTGGAGAGCTTGCAAAGCAAAATTCCGGGTCCTTTCGACGATAGCCTTCTATCCAATTGTGCGCCGTTGCTAACAACGTTGCTTAGTGGTCGCCGAGGCAGATCATCGAAATTGCGTGTAGCTGCCCTAGATTTGTGGAAAAACACATTTGCGAAGGCGCAATCGCTCACCTATTCGAAGGATTTGAGGCGTGTTTTAAGTTTTGTTCGCTTTTGAATAAGAGAATGAAGGTGGAGATCTAAATTTTAGGAAAGCTCTGCTACCTCTTGTAAAAAAGCGTGTTATCAACGTTCCCGGGTTTTCAAAAGTAAACGATTTCAATGGAGATGCTCCTTCTAGCGGTGAAGAATTATCATTCACTACGGTAAGGAAAAGCAGCTTAATCAAGTTTTCCCTAGCTTGCTATCTACTTCTAACGATTTGCTCCGTGTATTCGAATTTTGTGTTTTTGCAGTCTCCATCAAACTCATCGCAGTTGTCTTCGCGTCCTCGTCGAACAAGAAAATCGTTAAAAACGGAAGAGGAAGATCCACAGTTCAACAGTTCCTTGCATAGTTCTCCACTTGTTGCTGAAATGAGTTCTTCTCAGACTGGGAAGAAGCGGTGAGAACTCCTAGAGCGCTTGTCTGTCTTTTCGACTCCTCTCGCTTATTTCTATTTTTTTACAACGCATTGATCAATTAGCTGTACCATTAGAAGAGGGGCATCTAGTTTTCCAGAAGTAAAGCCACGCAATAGTGGTAAGATCTGACACGCCGCATAGCAAAAAACGTGGCTAAAAGGCAACATATCTGCCCCTGAAGAAAATGGAACAAAACCCAGTAAAACTGAGAGTACAGAAAATACTCAGTGCTCCAGTTAAGGTAGATTACAGCTATTTTCATGAGTGGGTGGAGCAACGGTATGTATTTGTGAATTCCAGTCCCCTAAGCGGAACAAGTCACTCCTCGTCAATCAGTTACACCGCGGACCAAGCGAAGGGTTTACGTTGGTCTTCTTGATGAGGACTCGGTTGACTACGTCCCTATCATTTCTAGCGAGTCAGCGAAGAAGATGAAGCTTACTGACCGACAACGAGAAATGTTCAGCGAAAAGAGGTCTGTCGTCTATTGAATTTTGTGTTTTTATTGCATATCAACTGTACTGATGTAGAGCGTTGCGTCTTTCCACTAACGGGAGATTTTTGTTCTCGTTCTCATTATTAAATTTTTAAGCAGTAAGATGATTGCAAAGGTTGGTGAGGTTTATAACCTTTTCTTCAACATGGCAACTGAATCCTTTCCACCGCGGCTAACAAGACAGTGTGATGATGAAGTGGAATGGTTTCTTTACTTCGGTTGTTTAGAATTATCCGATTTTTGCTTTTTCGAGAGCCCTCAACACGTGACGATGTGAACTTGTTCTTACCATTGGTCAGCAGGGACGGTGCCGGCTCTCATATCAATCGTTGGTAACTGTTTCGTGATGCGGTCCTAGGCGATGACCTGGCACATTCTAAGGCAATTTACCTATGCCCTGAAGAGAAGCAAATGTGTAGACCAACGCGGTAGGCCTTGTAAGGTTAATGCGAAGCAGGTTTTAAATTTGTAGCAAGTACAGCGCCCATGTTCAGTTGCCAAGTCTTCTTGAAACATGTGCAGAAGTCGCTTTCGGCCTATAAATATCCATGTTGAGACATCTGTATGGTTTGCGCAATGAGCCACTTTCCATTACAATCCTATTAACAAACAGTAAGTAGGATCTTGCAGTTCAAAAAGCATTCATGAGACTGTTCAGGGATCGCATGCCATTTTTGGACGAAGATTCCCAAAATTCAGCTGTAATCGCACACTTACCATCAGAATTCGATGCTGAGATGTCACAGTCTACGTGAGTGTTTCTCTTTATTCAGGGTAATGGTCTTCCTGTACCGCCACTGGCTTACTTGGGGGTTCGGACTCTGACTCCTCGGAGACACCACTGCTTCTTCCGACACACTAAACACTCACGGGCTCTTCGGGGATGCTATATACTGATTAGCTTTTCGCACACACCCACTGGCTCCTTCAGGTGACGGACACTAAGAATCGCTGGAAGTGCTAGCGAATCACTCAGCGATCGCAAAGTTGACCAATCGACTTACAAAGGATCTTTCGAGGTGTAGAGCGCTTTTTTGAAACGGTTTTCTGTATCTTATAGAATTCATACGTGGACTACAAAGCCGAGGTCCATTTTCGCTGAGCTGTCTCGTAGAGGTCAAAAAGTGAAAAAAATGGTCCAAGCTCGATTGCCCGTGGTGAGGAAATGTTTGCTCCTCGGTTGATCTTCCAAATTTGATCTTATACTACCTGTGCCAACAATAGGTGTCATATTCATTGCCGGGGACCAGGAACTCTCCTCTAGAAGTTCCATACATCATTCCAACGCTGTAGAATCACCCACTCCAAGCATGTTTTTTGATGCTTCTTTGGTCTCCCAACGGCCACTCAGCCAACTCGTATCTCACTTTTATAGTCTGCGTGAGGGCCCCTACAGTATGCAAAAATCCTTTTGAATAGGTGCTCCACACCCTGAAAGGCGTCTCTAGTTAGATGAACACTTCATGTTGCTGGATCGTAGTATAGTGAGTACAAATGATGAACTCTAATAATCGAGAGACTGTCCTATGTATGTATCACTGAGCTCCACTGTTCAAGCAAGGGGACTTGCCTGTTTAGCAAACATTGGTCAAAAACTTATATTTTCATCGCTTCAGCTCCAACAATCCAACGAAATTGGCTTCGATGTCTTGCCCAAAATCGAGAGATGACCAGATCGAGAGCCAACAAGAGGACATGCTGCCTCAAAAAGACGTACCGTCGGTATCGCCTGTGGCAGAAGTAAAGATGGAAGATAGTGTAGAGGATAACACTAGCTCAAGAAGAAAACCAAAGTTGAAGCTCAATTTCGATGAGGTGAGTGGCAATGCATTTTTAATTTCAATGAGGGTGAGGTCAGGCAAAACTTCGTATTTCATTTGTAGTTTGTTATTTTACCCAGTGGTACGCTAAATTTGTATTTTACCCCTTTCGGACCTGAATTTTTTTTTCCGTGGGGAATTTTTTTCTTCTAGCTATTGCTTATTACTTGCGAGCACATAAGTATCAAGCTAGCAAAGGGAAGCCTTATCGATCACAAATAAGAAAACGAAGGAAGTTTTCGATAAATTCGAGCACCTTCTTAGGTTCTGGAGCTTATGCTAAGGAACATGTCAAATTTTACAGTGATGCGAGAAATGTTGTAGTTCTTGTCAACATATAATCCCAAATGTTGGCATGAAACAAGGATCTACTTCATGTATTTTAACACATTGCGTACCAAGCCGTTTTTGCGCTGGCGAGCTCGCCTGGCCGCGCATGCATTCGCACCGTGCGCCACATGGTGGCGCATGCGGCCACACGGGACAGATATTTTTCAAAATCCTTTTTAGAGGGTCCTTTACCACTTTGTTTTTTTTATTGTCTTGCTAAGTCACAATTTTGTTAGGACTACGTTATAATTTTTGCCTATTTGAATTGTCATGAACATTCCAAGTGGCTATCGAATGATTATATAACAGCGGTAGTGAGGGATCAAAAAATCTGCTCTGACCAAGTTCTGGTGAAAAAAAGCGATGGCAACAAGTTCGTTCCTTTACCCCACAACCTGCTTAAGCATGTTTATTGAACAGCAATGAGGTTTATTCAGTTTACAGGATATTCGTAGGTGCATTTCACCCTCCACTGGACTTCAAGGGATGTGGGTGTATTACACCCATAATTTGCCGAACATTTATTATCGATTTTGATACGAGGGTAGCGCAAGCGAGTAGGATTTCAAGTAGAAGTTATTATGAAGATGAGTGCCTAAAACCACGAGACTTCAAAAGTATACAGCCAAAAGGCAAGTTAAGTGGAAGAAGCGCCCCGAAAGCCTTTACGCTGATGTTCCGCTGGCACATCACTTTATTCACGCGAAGCTTTTGGCTGAAACACATTATTGCAGCTCAGTTGGATTACATTAGATTGCGGTGACTGTTGAATTTGCTCGAAAGAATGTATTTTATTCAAGCAAATTTAATTAGCAACCTAGGCTCTTATTAGTGTCACATAAAAATATTAGCTCACAAGCTGGAGATGTCCCACTCAAGTATGTTGTTCTCCTAGTGAGATAACATACATCTGCGCAAACATGGAATGAACATCGACAGCCACTGTGAAGAAAACCAATTCAGAAATCGTGCGCCACCATGTGGCGCACGCGGCCACACGGGGCAGGAAAGTCGTGCGCCGCCATGTGGCGCACACGGTACGCAATGTGTTAAAAATGTTTGACACTTACTTGGCCAGGTTGCGGGGACTAGCGTCGATTCATTGTTGCACTTGTACACAAATACTTGTAATACTAAGCAACACACAATGAAATGGCAGGTTTAGCTCATAATTAGGAAGGGAGAAGGTTGACTGAAGCAACCTCTAGCAGATTGGAAAAATCATGAAGAATTTGATGGTGGCAATTGCCACCGCCAGGGCCGAAAGGGTTAAGTCATACTCAAGAGCCAAAAGGCGCCTAGCCTAAAATATCTTTGTACTGCAGCATCGAGCGTTCAATTCTCTTACAGTTGTCCCTGTACTTTCCAAAGCCTGATCCTTGACGGGATAGTGATGGTATATTAGGAGGGAGTGCCTTATGTGCGGACGGGTCAGAACTGAAGAGGCATTATCAGTGTGTGGTGATAGGATTTGGGGATTCTCACCCTTTTCATATTTACTCCCTCCAAGAGCAGTACGGGCTACTTGAACTTTCTTCTACGGTCATGTCATGAATGGCGGAGAGCACAGGCAGTTGAACGACGGCGACTGGCTCGGCTCCAAACCTCAGTATTGGCCCAGCTGCAGTTTTTCTTAAAAGTTCTCTGTTTGTTAATTTTTTTTATTTCAAGGCAGGAACTTGCGAGCACGCTCCATTCAGCCTAGGATCTGATGAATCTCTAGAAAAGGAGAAAATCGACAACACTGAGAAGGTAGAAGAGTTCTTATGATAAATGTCTTGTGAAAGTACTTTTATATTTTTTGGCTTTTGTTTTGCCATGATTCTTTATAATCATCTAGTGAATGGTTTTGTTCCAGGCTAGTGAGCTGTCTGGTCAACCTGGAAATAGTTCTTCTGTCGATGATGCTTTTGGTAGCGATGAATCGACTGGCGTCTCTGTTGACAGTGCTACAGAGAATGTAGAGAACAGCGAACTGTCATGTTCCCGCCGTTCAAGAAAAAAGGTAGGATGGGTGGATAGATAATGTGAAGGTTTTGATGGTGAAAGAGCAGTTTTGAGAGAGGGCGCGCGCTCCGTGTGCCTCACGGGTCTACCATTGAAAATATGGATTAAAGCGTTGATAAACGCAGTTGATCTGTTTGAAAAATCGTTTGATAAGCATTGATAAAGGTAGCGATTACAATAAAGGGCCGCATCGGAGAGAGCATATGCGCCACACGAAGCAGTTACTTGGCTGCCAAGGAAGCGAAATGTGGCGCTTTCACGATGAAAGGTGCTCTGGTTGCTGAGCAGGACTTCCAAAGCACTCCGCCCGGAAGCGTCACCACTAGTTCAGTTGGTGACTTACCCGTCCTTTCAAAAACGAGAAGAGCGTCGGGTGCAGACCATACACCACAAGTGACGACGGCCTCCAAGTAAATCTGGTTAGTAGTGTTCATAGTGATAGCTGATTTTTGGTAAATGATAGTTGTAATTAGTGACAACTGATAGAATACAACTGCAACAGGCTTCATTGGCAGAAAACATTTACATTTTGTGGAGGCCGTCGTCACTTGTGGTGTATGGTCTGCACCCGACGCTCTTCTCGTTTTTGAAAGGGAGGTACTTGGAAATGTTTGCTATTTGGCTTTTCATTTGAGAATCACTCCCCTTTTAAAGGCTGTATCTTACAACTGCCTACGTAATGCCTTGACAATCAAAACACTATACTTGTTGGCGTGATGGCGGCTACCGGGACAAACAAGTCCTAACAATTTTCCTGACGCCGCTCATTCATGATCGAAAATGAACGGGTAAACAAGAGGGTACTACTTTGCGTATTCTACTCGCTCCCTTCAAGTGCCTTCCACATTGACGGCGACGAGTGGCAGTACATAACCGGAGATAAGATTTCTGCTAAGGACGAAGGGGGATGGGAGGACTCAAGCAGGGTCAACCCTACGTTGTTACGAGTAACAACGGGGGGGTCGTACTCAGTTGAGCTTGGAGGGAGGGGGGTCGTACCCTCTCGGTGGCCGACAGTGGGATTCTTGGTAATATCGGATAATAGCCAGCACGTTACGTTTTCGTAAGATGACTGATACTAGAGCATCTATAAACCACGATTCCCTCTAAATGAGCTTTCAAATGAATCAGCGAATTAGAAGGGCGCCCGAGGCGTGGCGCGCACCAAGGCAAGGGATGTAGTGCAAGCGCATGCTCGGAGCTTTCTAGCACATCCTAATTAAACATAAAATTGGTCTTCCAAGAAGTTACGGGCAGTGAAACCTAAGAAAACTCGCGTTTTCGAGAAAATGGCTTGAAGAATACCCCTCAAATGAAAAGTAGTTAGGAAGGAGGAGCCACATCGATCCAAAATCCACCTGAATCTTCCGAACTACCTGAAATGTAAAAAGAAAACTCTCGAATTTCACACTCCCCGTTCGACGCCTCTTCACCGTGAGCAAATGCGCTCCACCGTCAGGAGGCCAAAGGGATTACGTAGCAATAAATAGTGATGGCAACTCTGCCTCTAAACAAGTGTTACATACAAGGGGGGGGGTCGTATCAAATTTCCGAAGAGTAACAACGATAGGGTTGCTGGCCTCCAGGGTGTCGGAAGCGCCACCACTTGCATGAATGGGGATGGAGGTGGAGAGGTTTTGCAGAGTCGAGAGTTCACCCAACCTTGAAAATATACGGGGGGGGGGTAAAAATAGGCACTCTCATCCACATTCGAAACCGAATTAATTACTCTTTTCCAAAACATCGAATGAGCTCAATTGCATGTTGAAGAGCACATTCTAGTCCGTCAAAAAGAAATAGGGGCTTTCTACACCGGACCACAGCAAAAGATTCTTCCACGAAACATGGTGCACGCGAGCTCAACGATGTCGTCGAACACCATAGACGATTACGACGTCTTTGAAACGCTGGTCAAAAGCCATCTTGCATAGTCAGAGCTGGTGTCTCTTAGAGGCTGTTCACCAGTTATACGGGTTGAAGAAATTGTGTACAGCTTACGAATGGAGCCCAGCGACTACGTGGTGGCGGTTGGACCGGGTGATGACAGATGACGTCATATTCTGGAGACGGTGAACGCAGCGAAGGTGGGCCTGATTCTGCTTATGGGGAGGACATCTAAGGAATAATTTCGCCGTATAACTCCCAATAACAGCGGCATCCTTTGCGACGAAAAGTTTGATGATATGCGCCATAGGCAAAGTGACTCTTTTTTGCCCCCCCCTCCCCCTGTATGCTTCAAATTACTCGATCGCGTAAACATAACCAACGCGCACACTTTTAGCATCGGAGATGCGAAGCACTTTGGACTGCCATCAACCTGGCCCACCGAAGTAACCATTTCCCGATAATCTCTCGTGCTTTCGTAATCGTGGTACATATGAACCAGAGTTTATTTGTTCATACGCTCCCCACTAGTTTGTACTGTCTACCACAATATTGTAATTATTGAAAATTGTTTAAGGATGGCGGGAGAAGTTTGGAATGGATAGAGCATGAGCAAGCGAGACATCAACCTTGCGTTTCGCAAGTTTCGAAAGTTTGACGACTCACTTCCCCATTCTCGACCAACCGACCACCACTCTCACCATCACCTGTTTCAATAGTATTTGATTCTGAGATCATTCGACACACTCATTTTTCCCCCCACCGCCATGAGTTGGGGCGGGCTCACTGTATCTTATCGCTCTCGACAAGGGCATCTGGAAGATATTAAAGTTATTTTTACCCAAAAATTGTCTCAAACACACGTTATTGGGGGTTTAACGTCATCACACGAGCGAGTCCATCCTCAGCAGCCGTCTTTCGCGCCTTTCGCGCTCGGTATCGTGCGCAGCTAAGTAATGTAATGCATAGTAATATAATAATAACACAATGCTCTTCATAATTATTTTCATTGTTAAGGCCAGCACACAGTTTGTTTTCTAGGGAACACCATTGAAATATGTCGGACAAAAGAAAAGAGAAAGCAACAAAATTGTCGAGAAGGAACAAAAAACGCCATCAACCCCAAAGAAAGGACGGCGCTCGAGCAAGATTGTTCAGGTTGTGGTCAGATTTCCTTCCATACGGTTTTTCAGGATGTATCGATCAAATCCGAATTCAGGAACGGCTAGGAGATGGTGCGGATTCAAAAACGCTACCGCCTATCATTCAAGATGTGACTACGCAGCAAACCGACGATACACTGGTTTTACGAGAAATGGACGATGTTCTCAATGTGACTGCTCCAAACAACGGGCAACGGTAGCATGGCACTCCACGGAGCCTTGATGAAAGCTTGGACGAAAACGACGATGTTACCGAGACCCCCGAGAAACAAAACACGGGAGTGGAGTGCGTTCGGTTTTGTGTCTGAGTTGAGTTGTTCTGGCATCGATTAACACAACAGTTTCAGGAGTATCGCTGCTACACCTACTCCAGCTTTTGTTCAAAGAATTGCCGGTACACCAGGCATATTGAAGAAGGTGGATAGCCCCTCAACAGCTGAGAAAAAGGTAAGGAACGAGAGGAATAGTAGCGGTGGTGGAAGGCACTCTGTAGTTTGGGGAATTTCGCCATTTTTTCAGCTTCGGCGAGTTCATTTCGGAGGAACATTGGAGAATAATGCACTTGATGTAACTACTGATGATCCGCTCAAAGCGATAAGTAATGATCTCATTCCCGTTTCTCCAAAGGGGCGTAAAGAGACACACCAAGACGGCCTTTTTTCATCTTCAAGACGCTGGTTGATCAGTACGCTACAAGTCTGGTTAGGTGGAAAAGTTGTCAAAAAGTGGAAAAAGTGCTAGAACAGTTTTCTCCGTGTGACGTAAAAACCTCCTGCAAAAAATAAAAAGTAAATGAAAATCCATTTAGAGCTCTCCTTTTTGCAGTTTATCTTGTAAGCGATGCAGCGACTAACAACAAAAAGACACTTGGCGACGGGAGGAGGCAGCAGGCACCGACAAGGCGAGGAACTAATTGTCTGGGGTGATGCAGGCGACAAGTATCTGGCAAACATTTATTTTGAGGGCATACCTACGGCGATGTAGAAGATGTGTATAGGTCCCTTTTATGAGTTCAGCATCTTCTACACGCACTTCCGACGGTGAAAGAGGCACAACCGGTTTTTTTATCCAGAAATTGCTCGTGGAAGGCGAAATTGAGTGGAGCTGTGCCTTTGGTTATAAAATACACCATTACCGCTCTTCACGCAACGTAGTGGTCCGTGTTCAAAGAGTCAGAAGCTGTCGAACACAAATGAGGGAATCATTTATTCTACTCGAAAACACTGTCGTTGTTTAGTTCCTTCATCCCTGGTGAAGGGTGGAAGTGGTGTAGTGGCAAGTGGCACGCTCACCACGCGAGCGGTCCGGGGATCAGATCCTGGGTTACCACGCGAGCAGTCCGGGGATCAGATCCTGGGCCGGAGTCGTCCTGACCGACCAAGCCTTCCATACGACAAATGCTTTATTTTTTATCCTTTATCCGTGGTAATCTTCTTCCATTATCCTGCCCCTGTTCCTCAATCTCGGCCTTCATACATCCGCCTAAACTATCTTTACACAAATAAGATTAAAGGACAACAACCTAACAGAATATAGTTTTCTTCTTCTGTGTTTGTCTGTTTGTTTGTGGAGAAATTTTTTTTTCATACGTCCAGTGGACGCGCTCATAAGGTATACGGAGTATATTCAAATAGAAATACTATCAGTCGCGAAAAGGGCAGCAGTCGTCCTGTGTTACAGCAATTAATGATATGTTAACGACTGACTTAACCAATTTGTGAGAGACAAAAACGAGAGAGGGGCATGTTCAAAAGATCCTTGAGTATTGTTTGAACTCTGGGTCATACACTAGGTTGATCAGTGGATTTATGTACAGATTTGGAAGTAACAAAGAGCATTGCCATGAGCCATAAGGTTAGTGCCTCAAAGATAACCCTACTGCGAGGCCGCAGCCCTACAAGGGCGGGTGCAGAAACACCTCTTTGATCTAAATACGAACCCTAGGAGCTGGCTCGGGGGCGCTTGTGAGGATAGCTAACCATGCGATGCCATAACTTGGGCTCATTTTGGGATTGGCTAATAGGCTTTAAATGAATTCGGTAAATTTTAATCAAGTTGGATCAACAGCTAGTGTATGACACAACCCTTTAGATATTTCACTATTATATTTCATTACCATTGAATGGTATAAAAGTTGATTTGAAGATTACTGAGAGACTGCAATCCCTTTTGCTCACAATGCTAACATAATCGTTAATAATATACAGTGAAACAGATAGCTAGAGCGAATTTTACACTTTCAAATAATATCAGGAAGACCAATAACACGAAGAAGTGCCAGTCTTCTTAATAGCTCTTCTGAACTTGTCGAAATTATCGCATGCTGGCTGGTAGCAGTTCGCTTCTTCGCAAAGATCCATGGGTGAAAAAATTGCAGAAATAGAAAGAGACTAACCTAAATCTTCAATGTTTAGTGTTGACAATAGGTTGATCTTTTTCAATTTCATTCGGAAAATGTTTGAGTTTGGAGAGCAAAGTATATCGGTGGGCAACATTTGGATCCATCAGGCGCAGCGATAGAAAAATGAGTTGTGAATTTTTGAGCAAAAAGGTCTTTTTATCGGGGCATATTCTAATACAAAACGGGATAAACGCCCATG